CATCGATGGGAACCCAGCGATGGTAAGGGTATACCATCGATGGGAAGGCATGACCGTTGGTGGTCATTAAAGGTTGATTCTTTCCTTGTTTGGAAGTCAACCTCCCACCCAGCGATGGGAAGCTTGTACCCATCGATGGGTAGGTGACCGTTGACTTCAAAACTGAAGGAAAATTGGCTTACCAGCGATGGTTGAGTCTAAACATCGATGGGAAGCCAATATTCTGCAGATCCCAAATCTTTTCAATCCCATAAATCAAGCCAATCACCCCTTTAATGCATTGGTCCGTTGGAGCCTTCTTTGGCACTATAAAAAGGGGTGTTTGGGTCTGCTTTTCTAACCAATTCACTTCACAACATCTATACTTTCATTGCATTCAAATATCATCATTTTCCATAGCTTTCTAGAGCAATTTTTGTGTGAAGGTTGAGTTGTTCTTGAGCGTACTTAGTTTACTCATAATCTACTCTATAAGAGAGTCTCGTTCTTGAGTGTACTTGTGTTCTTAGACACGTTGAGAGATAGTATCTCTCTCGATTGATTCAAAGGAAGGTCTGTTTCCTTTGAAGGATTCGATGAGGTTCGTGTGACTCGAACTCTCAAGTTGTAACGGTTTGTTAAGCACCCGTAAGCTTAACGAGATAGTAGTGTAGCTCGAGAGAGTCTCTCGGGAGGCTGGATTAGCCACAAGTTGTGGTGAACCAGGGTAAAATTCGGTGTGCCTTTTACTCTTCTCTTTACTTCTCTTTTAATTTTTTTTTAATTCCTGCGATTTCTCCGATCAAACGCTATTCACCCCCCCTCTAGCGTTGGTATATTATTCTAACAATTGGTATCAGAGCCTAACTCGCGTCCAAACTTAACCTTTTGAGAGTAAAGCGATCATGGGTTCTTCTTCTAGAAATCTCTATGCAGGAATTGGAGAAGATCAATCAACCTCTAGGCCACCGCTCTTTGATGGCACCAACTACACATATTGGAAAGAGCGGATGAGAATATACATCCGCTCAACCAACTTTCAGTTGTGGCTGGTCATCAAGAATGGCGAGGAAACTCCAATTAAGAAGGTCGATGAAAAACTCGTCCCAAAGACCGAGGACGAATTTGATGCCGAAGACATCAAAAAGGTGGAGAACTACGCCAAGGCTATCAATATGATGTACTGTGCCGTCAATCCTGATGATTATCGCAAGATTTCTTGTTGCACCACTGCAAAAGAAATGTGGGACAAACTGGAGGTCACGTATGAAGGTACGGACCAGGTTCGGGAAGCCAAAATTGACTTCCTAACGCAGGAGTACGAGATGTTCAGGATGAAGGAAGGAGAAAAGATCGATGACATGTTCGATCGGTTTTCAAAAATCATCAACGACCTTCACGCTCTCAAGAAGACGTACACCAACAGGGATCTCGTGAGGAAAATCCTGCGAAGTCTCACACCCGAATGGAGATCAAAGGCAGACGCAATCTATGAATCCATCGGAGTCTCAAATGTCACCATCGACGGGGTAAGAGGTAATCTCAAAACTTATGAATCTACTATTCTAACCCCGTCTTTGGATGAACAAAAGAAGAAGGGTATAGCGCTGAAAGCAACCAAGGAGTCCGTGGAAGATGACTCAAGCGATGATGACAACGAGTTCGGACTCGTTATCAAGAAGTTCCACAAATTCATGAAGAAAGAATTTGAAAGAAAAGGAAGAAAGCACGACGGGCCCCCGAAGTGCTATGGTTGTGGTGAGATAGGCCACATCAAGCCGAGGTGTCCAAAAAGCAAAGGCGGCAAGGACAAACCTGGCTTCAAAAAGCAACGCGCCTACATCTCTTGGGGAGGCGACTCCGGGGATGAGTCAACGGATCA